ATGTAAAAGATAAAAAGCGTTACTGTAGGGTATCCTTAGGGGATATATGCCATCGCGGACTTTTTGTAGATATTTTTAAAATATACAGTTCATAGTACATTATTTCGATCTACCTCGTAAGGTTTAGCCAGCGTTTAAGCTCAAAACGATGTTTTTTACGACATCATATTACAAATCTTTGAAATCCTCGATTTTCCTCTGCTATAATATGCATATATCGAATCATTATTTCTCTTGAATCACTCTCTCTATTAGAGAAAACCGCATTAAAATCCGTTGCGAAGTTTAAAAGATCTAAGCGTACGAAAAAAAGCTACTTCATTTTACACTGGTTGTTATATTTTCGAAGAAATTCATAAAATTTGCATTGCGGCCAACGTAAGCTTATTCTTTAAATCTTGAATTATTAATGTTCAGGATAATATAACTGTATTGATGTAAATTGAAAAGTAGATACGCAAAAGCTGCTATGTACTCATTACGTACTCATTATATCACTGATACAATGCCTTTCGTCTTGGCTAAGAAGAGACGAGACATTCTAATATCTCTAATTTACATAATGTAATTTGTTTTTCTGTGTTCTACCAAAATCACCTGTATTATACATATTAATAGATTATATTTTGAAGATATTGTATCCATAATTTCTTAAATCTCATGATATTTTCGTATTGTTTACGAAATTTGATTTTAAGTATGCATATTTCAAACATAAATTATTGATATACTTTAAAAGTATCATTGACGTAATGCACCTAAACGGGACCAAACTTAGAGTATAAGCGATTCAATTAAACATAGTATTATTGAAATAGGGTCGCAAATGTCGAATATATTGTAATTCTTATTCGTATTAACATAACTTTAGTCATTTCTATTCTGCTCCTGCCTACATAAATTAAAATACAAATATATTTCAGACCATTTCTACTTTTTTGTTTTGATTGTATATGAATAAAGCTTTCAGAAAGCTTTTCTGCTATTTTGGCTGGGTTGCATCCACCATTTATATTTAAAATAAAGCAAGGGGATTGTATTCCCACATATATTTTGAATTGTATGTTTCTTTTAATATACTGCTAAAATATTGTACATATGTTATTACTCGACGTAGCGAGTATCAAATCTGAACAATTTATGTAGATTGAAAGTAAAGCGTAATAAAACACTTACATAATAAGTGCAGAATTGACCGGTAAGTAGGACACAATGTACGACCGTGACCAGCGCTGTGAATGTATCATACGAACACCAGCCAGTGACGTCGGTGACGGTCGACGACACAACGAGGGCCTTAATTACCTCTTGTGAAATGACCATTTACTACAAAACCATCGTATAGTACTACGTTTTCCTTGCATCTCAACCTAATGCGTGTGTAACTGACATTGACAAGGGTTCCTGAAATATGTAACATGTTACCTTTTTATAAGACAAATGTTTTGGAGTTTCAAAACCCCCCTTTGGGTGCCATAAGGACCTCACAAAATCTGAACCGCCCAAAAGACGTCTAAAATTTAAAGAATTCATGCAGAACGACATCTCACAACAAACACAAAACGCACCGCAATCCTTCAAATGATTCAAACCGACATTTAACCCTTTCAATTTTGTTCCCTGCCATATTTATTTCTGTCATTGGAACATTTAAAAGCGTCGTATTGAATTCTTTTAATTGCCCATGGATATTAATGGATAAGATTTTGTTACAACAAAAAGTAAACAAGAGAAAGGAAAACATCTTTGTCATAATCATTAATGACTTCAAAAACTATTAACTGATATATATTTTATGTTACTAGTAGTTCTAAACTTTTTCTAAATTTATTTATTCGGTGAAATATATTTTGTTCTATTATTCTACTATGTTATGCATTATACTGCTTGCTATTCTTCGAGTGTTCATTGTGATATCTCTACGCATTTCGTTAATGTTAGCTTTGGTCGGATGATGAAGGTATCCTTCAAGTTTTATGCATTGAGTTCTGATGACCACATTTGCTCATACTTTCGCATTACATGTCTTCACCACGATTATCAATAGTTCCTCTACAGAAGTCCCTATTTTGTAACGAGAGGAGGTATTGAGGTAATTTGATATTTCCAGCGATCGACTTTAGATGAGCAAGAAATAATACCACACAAGCACCTTTTCTTCTTCAAAGCCAGCCTTAAATTAAGTAGATTACTCTTATCTCATCTTATCTAAAAAGGACAACGCTTCTATCATATGCCTTTTCTAGATCAAATATGAGCTAGTTTAAAATAATTAAAAATTTGTGGATTGCATTTGCAATATTATTATTAAAAGTTAATGAACATAACATTATTTAGCAATACACATTTTACATTGTAATAGATACTTTCGAAACAGTGTTAAATATTATGTAGATTTTACGAGTATTACACAAAACGTACATGCTCTAATAAATTTATGTTAAACTAGCTAATGCCCACGGCTTCGCTCTCGGGATTATTTCTTATATCGTGTTTCTAACTTGAAAATGGCAAAGTTCTATGCAACTGTTTATCCCATATTTTACCCGCCTAGGGTCGACATTTCCTAAACCCCTTTCTTAGTGAATGCTTACATATGAAAAACATCAGCTGCCAAAATTTCAAGTTTGTAGTCAGAGCGGTTTAGGCTCTGCGTTGCGTTTATCAGTCAGGGCAAGTAGTTTTAAACGTATAGATAAAAACGGCTTGTAGTAGATAATATACCTCCTCAGCTGGTTTTCTCGTGATTGAGTATTTTAGAGACATAGGAACAGAAAACTGATTGAAGCGTAACACCGTATTTTACCCAAACTTAAATAGAAATTGGAACTAAGGGCCAATAAAGTTGTTTGATAAAATAAAATCAGTTTTTCGAATCGAAAACTAACTAAAAATTTAACAAATATCCATTTTATGGTATTTATTTTGCCTCCGAAATAACAGCGTAGCACTAAAATAGGGAAATAGGCAATCAAGACAATTTAAAGACTTGTAAAAGTTCTGAGCACGACTTATTAAAAAATAAAAAAGATCATAGCTCACAAGTAATAAAACCTCAAAATAATTAGCTTTGAGAAACATCCTCAAGAACATCCTCAAATCTTCGAACCAAAATGATTGCTTAGAGTAGGGTTCCAGAAAAGTTACCCCTCGCGAACGCACCGTCTATGGAAAGAGTTCCATGCCAAAGGTTTTTAAAAGGTCGGCAACGCGCATATGACTTCGTATCGTACAAGCGTAAAAATGCTAGTGGCATTTGAATGCGCCTGCGAAGCTCGGAAGTTTAAAGTGTTTTATAGTATGAAAAGCGCTGTGGTTTAAAAAATTATAGGTCGTCGATTTTTGTAATGCTTATTCGGCTGCTTTCTTCATCGATGTGACATTTAAATTGCCTTTAGACTATAAGGGAGTTCAGAATTAAACGTTGATTTAGCTGTAAAATAAAATTATTTGTTTTCCTGAATCTTCATTTGCTTCACATAATAGAGGTATAGGTGAATAATATGTATCACTGTAAAAACCACTGAAACACTAAATTTTTTATACAGACTAACCGTTAAAAGTACGTTTATCCTCAAAAGATTTTTGTAACCCCTTTTAATAAGTTTAATGAAAGCAACTAGAAACTAACTTTCTGTTGTAACCGAGTTATATTGTACTTAAAAACATATGCTTCTAAAGATTAATGAATTCCGGCTACTGCAATGTTGTTCGTAAGGACATTTAATAAAATATCAAATAATGCTTTGTCTAAAGGATCAAAGTGTCCCAAAAGGCACGTTCTGTAGCAGCGTGTGCCTGATTTAATATCTAACAAGTATTTTACAGTCGCTGTCTTTCGAATCTTGCTTAACGATCTCTTTTACTGCACCTGTGCTACATATTTTGTATTTCTTGTGCCGTAAAAGTGTATGTATAGAAACGAAATTTTACTTGCCATTTTACCAGCACCTGGTATTACGACTAAAGTAGTATAAAATAGAAAATACTGTCACAGTGGAGTAAAGTAAAAATGTTGCCATATAAATACTATTGTATTCACGATGCAGTTTTGATTATTTTTAGATTATTGAATAATATAAAGTAAGTAGTTCCAAATTACTCGTGCGTTTTAAAGATCCCGATCCTGAATCGAAAAATATAAGATTTCGACTCTTTACCAAACGTGTTTAAATATGTAGTCCAACATATGACACAATGTTGTATATTTTTAATAGTATAGTAAAGTCAATTTGGATCAGTTCAGTATAACAATTGTTAGTTTAATATTTATGTCTAGGTACACAGTGGTATTCAATGAGAGTGGTATGAGATTACATTCAAAGTAATATAAAACATCTATCACCTAACATTTGGAACAACGAAGGCACATCCAAATTAATATTTAAATTGCATAGTTGTACTAAAGATTAAAGTAAAAGTAAAGGCGACTAAGAATACTAGACATTATTTTATAATTTACTATTCATTTTAAATTCAGAATAGAAATAGTGGAACATAAATAATGCATAACGTACATTTTCCTTTGAGTATGGCCCCAAAACCTTTTTAATGAATCTCAGAATATTAAAGTTTAAAATACGCCAGGAAACGATCCACTCCTACAATGAAAACAGGGGAGGTAATAAATCGGCAGAATTATGCAGCACTTTACGAGTTAGGTTGGATCTCGAGATCACGTCACACCATCAAGATATCCGGCTGTGGTTTAGTTCTACTGGCATCAAAGCGACCCGAATAAGATTACCGCAGAGCTGCGAATTCTGCATTCTATTATACAATACTTTCTAGACGTTATTCATTTATTACGAGATTTAATTTTTGATTTACTGAAATAACCAGTACTAACTGGGATGTTTAAATAACATATATGTTTTTATTGGATATGGGGTAGACGTGCAGTCGGGTCACTTGATGGTAAGAGACTAGCGCCGCCAAGAGATACAAGTGCATTGCCGCCAAGAGACATAAGTGCATTGCCGCTAAGAGACACAAGTGCAATGACGCCAAGAGACACAATTGCATTACCGCTAAGAGCCACGAGTGCATTGCCGCCAAGAGATACAAGTGCATTGCCGCCAAGAGACATAAGTGCATTGCCGCCTAGAGACACAAGTGCATTGCCGCCAAGAGAAACAAGTGCATTGCCGCGAAGAGACACAAGTGTATGGCCGCCAAGAGACACAAGTGCATTTTCCTTCCTTTCCTTTGAGAGCCACTTCTCCCTATAATAAGAGGAAAGGGTGGGGAGAAATGACATGGGCATAGGTAACGTCACTCACTCAGTGAAAAGCAACGAAACTGTTTTCTGTGAGTCTCTGCTATCATTCTGGACGAGTTAGCCCATATTTGCCGAAGCATGACTCTCCCACGGTGGTGTTATATTACTACCTTGCACATTATAAAATAAAGTTAACTAACGGAAGTTATAACAATAAATCCGTGATGGCAAAGTTGTGATTTTATTATGACATTTATGACGACGTTTGACGTGCTAAGGGTTTTTGTAGGGTTTGTTAGGTTTTTATAGAGAACATTCGAATATATTAAGCGATCATAGATTATTATTGGATTTAGAGAAGAAGACCAACCAGGACTTACAGAAAAAAAAGTATTTTTGGATATTATATTAAAAGTACTTGCAGACCAACCAGGTCATATAGAAAATGGATTGGTTTATTAAATGTATTTAATAGAAGGCCAAAGTTTTTCAAAATTAAATTTCACTAAATCTAAAATATTATTGTGTGCTGGTAACATAGATTTAGAATGTATCGCCTCACTATATCAGTACTCTGTTCAGATTATGTACCCTTGCCAGCTGCTTTGATAAATTTACCTGTAGTTTATAGGTGAATTAATTGTATACGGAGTCCCTGGCGCCGTTTACATTTTCGTATAACTTTAGGAAATTGTTAGAGTTAATCGGTTAACCGGATAATTTCAACAATTATCAAAATTTTGATGTCGTTATGATGTACATTTAACATTCTGGTTTTATAAATTCATGGTAACAATAGATATGCTTATTATGTTTCTGCGCGTTTATATAAAAAAAATGGTTAGTATTTTGTGATATTTTATCATGGATTATCTACTAAAGTCATGGAATTTAATATGAACTAAGAAGAAGTTATTGCGGAAGGTGTTTTATGTAGCCAATGTCCACTAGTGCCTTTATGTTTTGCCCATAGTATTTTTCTGTAATTTTAGTTTTTTGACAAAGCAGTATTTTTTGGGTCTGGTGACTGTCTTAAATTTTTTTTTATGACAGCCATGATCCCAACGATTTGAAGATTCTGTCACTGATGTAGTGGTTTAGGGCATTTAACTGTTCGTTCCATCTACTTTAATTCAGATCGGTGGCAGATGTAAGGCTTGGTTCACCCCTGCAGTTGGGACATAATTCGTTGGCCCATGATACCAAGGAGAAAGCCAATCTCGTAAGAGAACTCTTTTCATCCAATTCGACTTTTGATGTCGGGGAAAAACGTGCCAGAGCTGTGTGCCGGAAATCCGGTTCATCCAGAAATCAGTGCGTAAAGTACTCTTTCCTTCGACATTCATAAGTCGAGTGAGACCGATGGAATCTCTCCTATCGTGTTGAAGACGTATGCTCCAGAGTTGACATCGGTTTAACAAGCCTTTTTAGACTCTCATGCTCCCTAGGCGTCGTCCCAACCTCCTGGAAGGTAGTGTTTGTGCACCCAATCCCCAAAGAGCGTGACAGCTCAGATCTGTCCAACTACAGGTCTAAAGCCATAACCCCCTTATTCTCGAAGATTATGGAATTCATAATTAACTGCCAGCTCCTCCGGAACTTAGAAAATCACTAGATCGACAATATGGTTCTCGCCGGGGTCGCTCAGCTGGTGATCTTGTCATCTACCTAGCACACCGGTGGGCACAGGCGATCAAAACCAAGGGAGATTCTTTAGCAGTTATCTTGAACATAGCCAAGGCTTTCGATCTGGTCTGGCATAAGGCGCTCTCTTGACGCTCCCTTCCTATGGGCTTCCCGAGAAATTATGTTACTGGGTAACCAATTTCCTTGCAGACAGAATCATTAAGGTCGTTTCAAATCTGTAAATGCTTGTGTCCCGCAAGGCTGTGCTATCACGCACACTGTTTCTTTTGCATATCCATCACGTGTTGCAAATTAGTAGCATCTATTGCTATGCAGATGGAAGTACGTTTATACCGTAGTTTATACCGACCGCCTCAATATTTCTTGGGTAAACGTCACAAACGCACATCGAGAGTCGAAACAAACTTGTGTCTGAAATTGAAACTTCCTTAGCTTAGGTTTCAGATTGGGGTCTTCTGAATCTACTCCATTTTAAACTAAAAAAGACCTCCATTTTATCTAACTGCCTCAGCCAGTATCGGAATCCTAGGCATCGACATTTCGATCGAAGTCCAGTTTCGGGGTCACTTAGAGTCTTGCCGCATATGGAATACTGTTCTCATATTTATGCAGGAGTATCCCAGTACCCGCTTCTCCCTCTGGACTGCATCCAATGAAGCGCGACCCGAATCATAGACAGCGAAAAGATATCCGATCGGCTCGATCCCTTGGCGTTACGTAGAGATGTATCTTCATCCAGCATTCTTCATCGTATCGTATACCATGGAAAGTGCTCCGAGGAATTGTTCGGAATAATACCAGGCCGCAACTTTCCGCCATTGTTCCACATGAAAAAAATTTCATTTCCATAACTTCGATCATTTTCACTCTACCACTGTGCGCTTTTCAAGACACTTTTTGCCTCGTACAACCAATCTATAGAACAAGTAATCGTCTGTGGTATTTCCGGACCCATACGACCTCCAAGCCTTCAAGAAAAGAGTGTACTCCTTAATCAAAGGCCGACAACGCGCTTGTGACTCCTGAGTTGCAGGCGTTCATCGTCAGAGGTAGTCACTTTCCATCAGGTGATCCGTCTGCTTGTTTGCCCCCTCTTTCATAAAAGAGAAACTATGACTAAGGTCCTTTAGTGAGCTTTATTTAAAAAAAAATTGTGTATTTGTATATACATGTAGATTGAGAATGAGAGATTTTTTTTAAATGACCTATGTTTTTTTACGCTCATAATCCTTTATTTTAGGGAATGGTGGCCTCTTTAATACTTAAAAAGAACTACATTTATGACGCAAACCTGCTTATCAACTGTATACCAAAACACTCGTTAACAATACTCAATTTTTTCTTTGTTCTAAGACCGGCTTAATCTCTCCTACAAAGACTCCTTAATTATCTTCAGTTCTGTAAATTGATACCCTTTATTTTGTTTTGCACGTATTACGTAAAGAATATTGGTAATATCTAAGGATTGTACGTGCAAAACATCCTAAATATATGCTTACTCCTTTTCGATTTATTGCGTATTTCGAGAATCGCTTTTTATGTAAGTGTTATAGTAGGTAGGTAAAAAACCCTCTTGCAACATAAGTTCAGTGCCTCGAGCACGAAAAATTTTCGAATGCGTATCGTAAACGTATCGAGTCCTCGATACGTTTACGGAGTTTTACGATAGGCGGTAGCACGAAGTACTAACGTTAAGGTATCGAGAGCTCGATACGATTACGTTAGTGACGTCATCCTAACGTAAATAAGGATGAGCACTTAAGAACGAATTCAACATCTTATTGAATGAACTATGCGTTCGAAAACATAATGAAATAGTGAACTTTTTATTACTTTCGGTTAAACTACCTATTTATTGACAATTAAAACAAAATATACTTATATAAACACATAGTAAATCTTTAATGAGGTATTGGACATTTTAAAATTTAGTATATTTGGAGAATTAAAATAATTATTTTGTCATTTTTTTCGGTTTCTGAAAAACACGTCTCCACTTGACAATTTATTGACATGGCTACGACGCTATGTCAATAAATTGTTTATTATTTTTATTGTAAATTCATCACCAAGTTTAAGATTATTTGTAAACCTTTGAAACTTTAAGAAGCATTTTATAGAAAATATTATGTATTATTACGTCGTGTTGGCTGTCGATTGTGACAAAAATCCAAGCTTCCAATAATAGCTAAGTCGTATACCACTAGATCATTATGTTATGTGAAAAGAAATTGATAAAAAATTCTTTAAAATAAACCACAGTAAGTCGTGCCACAATAAATCGAACTGTTGAACAGCACAGACGAAAACGTGTTTCATCATCTTCTGCGCCAAAAATCCCAACATCATAAAAGTCATAGTGAGAACAAGCCATTTACAATACGTAGCTATGGTGGAATTCTGGAAAGGTGAGTGTATATTAAATGTACTATTTGCAATATTGAATGTACTGTAATGTAAAATAACGATGTGATGTTTGAGAATATGATAAATTTCTGACGTTATTACTTATAATTCAATTTCTCGTTGTTATGAGACTTACACTGCTACTTCACATTAAAATAAAGTTTCAATTGTAAATATACATAACATCTGTCACTTTATAAATGTTACTTGAACACCACCACAGCAATCCTACAGATAAACATACCAGGGACTACTAATGTCTCATATCAGTCAATCTAGGTTTCATAGTACAAGTTCTGCTTAGTTTGAAACTAGGTGGTGTTGTGTGTCAGATGTCTAAAAATATAAGTAATAAATGTTGCAATATTTTGTTGTAGATTGGAATACTGCGGGCTCAAGCAGCCAACCGACTGTGGCTCCTCCTTTACCAGCATCTGATTTTTATTCTCAGTCACCGCAGTGGCGAGGAGTGGAAGTTTCCTGAAGAAAAATAAACTCAAAACAAGCAATGATATTTTAACCGTTAATAGAATCGTAATTGTGTGAAATAAAATTAAAATTATTAACTAGACATATAACTTTTTCAAAGTAAATAATGTTCTCTGTAAATAACATGTACATGTGTATGTAATGTATAAAAATCAACTCTGTATAATTCATTTTAAAATTATGGTAAATAAAAAATATTCATACTAGCTCATTTTTTACTACATACCTTTCATCCCTTTCTGCTGGGTAACCCCCTCTATCTAACCTAATTTGGTACGAGCCTAGCAATGCCGCTTTGGATATTTGTTCAAGGAAAAAGCTTACTCAGCAATCCAAGGTCATTAAACAGGTTATTGAGGGATTTAGCTCTTATACCCCTCGCACCCACTTCCACGGCATACAACGCAACGAAATAACCATTTTTAGTTATTTCGTTGGTTAAGTCAAACTACTTCTTAGCTTAAAGCGATATATTTTAAAATTCGTTGTCATTTATATTTAAAGGACTAGCTGGTGCCCGAAACATCGTTTGCGTAGAATTTGAAAAGCGCTGCCTTAGTGGGTTCGATTCCCGGCCCGGCAATTTTTTTTATCCTAAATTACTCGTTATGTAGACAGCTATCTGGTAGTAAAATATTTTAAAAATAGGTCCAGGCGTTTTGAAGATTACCCGAACCCAAAAAATATTTAGACTGGTTTTTATGGCACCTATGCCATAAAAACCAGTCTGGCAAAAAACCGTGTGAGCACGAAAGAAACCTATTATTTTATATTACAAACAGACATTCACTTTTATCTTTCTTTGTTTTTCTCTTCGCCTTATTTCACTAAAAAATAATTAATTAGATTAATAGATATATAGGTACATACTAAGTATACTACATTTTATTAATATAGTAGAAGTTTCTTCAAATGTTTCTGACAAATATTTAGTTTACACTTTATAGATAAAACAAGATTTGCTCACCTCGAATCTAGTTGTTGAATACCTTTATTTTCAATTAAACTTGCGACAAGAACATACATAGGACTAAAGCGGCGGTCTTTGCAGATTTTATCTCTACAAAAAATAACCGTTTATACTTGAAAATAATAGTTTTAAAAGAAATTGATTGTTTCGAAACTTTTCTCACGGCTAAATCTTAGGTGAATAAACATTCGACTAAGTTTGACAGGTGCTCGATAGCCAGCCTTCGAACGTACGTCAAAATTTCATTCGTGCTGCCAATTTTCTTTAAAAAGTGTAACGTATCGAATGCTTGACGATACGTTGACGATACGAAAGTAAATTCGAAACGTTCGTGCTGCCAAAATTAGTTACTTTTACGCACGATAGGGGCGCTGTACAAATGTCATACAAATTTTGTCGAAGACGATACGAATACTTTTTCGCAAGTTGTTCGTGCTCGGGGCACAGTTAACGTCCATTTCGCGTGTTACATATGCGATTATTAATAGACGTCTCGAGAGTCAGCAAACCGAAAATTTGGTTGGCACTTCAATATAATAAATAATAATAACTGTAATAGATACAAAAGTATCTTAAAAGCTCCAAACATAATTAAACATTTTGCTTATCTTAACCATTGTAAGAAAAAAAACAGATTATTATGCTCAAGAATATTTATTAGGGATGTTCCAAGTATGCAAACACTCTGATTAAAATGTACATTTGAACGTGTAGACACTATTGTTGTACTTGTTTTAATTACGCATATTATAATAATTTTAATACTAAGAATCTTTATAATACCAAGGTAATTGTTGTTGGTTATGATTAGTCTTGTTCCAAATTTAAAAGAAATTTCTCTTTACTTTGAGCTTAATTTCAACTCGTTAATGTGAGCTTATGCCTTAAACGACCAATGAAATTACTATAATTAAGACAAATTAGGAGTAGTAATAGATTCTAATTACTTTTAAGAGTTATGTATATGGTCACATTTTTTATTTAAATGATACTCCACAATCACAGTAAATCAATTCTTACTAACAAATGTGTCGTGCTAAGGTACTTTATAATGACAATTTTGGAAATAACATCATTTTTCCTTAAATAACAACGTTTAAATAGCATGAGTATCAAACAAACTCTTGGCCCTCCTGATGCTAAGCGATAGTCGATGCTTAAAACATTTGTAACGACTCAATCATCAAGTTAAAGAAGGCCGTGACATTTTATAAGGCTAGCTCTAAACCTGAATATCGAAGGGACCTTGTGGTTTTAGCAGATTCAATCACACATAATAGCTTCGTCGCCGTCGTCGTTCGTCGAGGTACGTATATGCGCAAAAGCAGTATACTAAATACTCATTAAAATTGTAATTGCCATGATGGTTGATGAAACCATTTTTTAATATATAAAAGTGGCTATTTAAAAATACAACGCTTTGAATAAGACATCGTCTCCTACGCTATGTTACAATTTACTTCCATTATCATATTCTTATAACAATATGCCTACCAACCAAAAGAATAATATCAAAACAAACAACGTACCGTGAGAAAATGTATGTGAATTACAGATTGAAAATTTCCAATCAATTCTTTCGTTATCCGTATTCCAAATATGCGTATTACGGATATCCTTTTTTTCCTATAAAGCTTGTATTTAAAGGTATACGGTAGAAAATTGAATGTGGATAACCTGTCAAGCACAGGGTTTATGGGTAACGGTATTTCACTATATGGCTCGTTATGCTACTAAAGTGCTAAACAAACACACCTTTATACCCATAAGAGCGTGTCTTGGTTTTTGTAATACTACACATATATATACGGGATAACGTACCAACTTAGTGATACAATACGGCATATAGTTGATTAGTAGTTGAGATAGAAGTCATTAAAATGGATTGTGAAAAATAAAGATACACTTATAGTTTACTTATGAATTTTAAAAATCTGTGTGATGGAAATATGATGTATACCTTTTCACATGTCTTAACTGACAATAATATTTTTGCAATTTTTGTATTTTACTTAATGAAGTAGAAAACACCAAGTAAATTAGATTTTATTGAAAGAGGTTAACAGTTTTCTTTGCACTAGAAAAAAATATAAAGTAACAAAATATTTCTAGAAAATTACTTGAGTTCGGATTTTATGTAGGTACTTTATTACTTAATGATAATAAATGAAGTGATAATTTAATAGCAATTTCTAAAAAAGTGCACGTTACAAAATGTTGATGTAAAGTATTAATTTTTTCAATTCTGTACGTACTGTAAATTGTACTGTAAGTACAAGTATAAACTCTAAGCCTTAACAGGCAGCCGTTCTCTGAAATTTTCAGGTACTCCCATATATTGGAACTGTGCCTAAAAGCTTCACGTTGTTATCTCGGTCAAGATTCTCCCAACTGTAATTAAACTTTTGACGTTGAATTATGAGCAACATAATGTATTGTACGTGATGTACTTTCATTATATGAGGTTAAGCAGAGTGCCACAAGAGAGGGGCAACTGTGATGCGTAAACGATAACACTAACTGTGAGATTTATAGGTACTGTTAATCGCTTACCATTAAATAACGGACTGCACGGATTGCGTAGTGTGTCGCGTGGTTCTGATGAGCTATGAACTCGCCGCTTCCTACTATATTGAGTGTTGTGGGTTCGATCCCCATACGGGATAGAATTTTCTTGAGCCACAAATTGTTGTTCTGAGTCTGGGTGTGCTTGGTGTCCGTTTCATGAATGTTTGTGAAGTCCTGCACGACACAGGATATATATTCTTAGTGATTCCTTAAAAATAATAAAAAAATAAAGTTGTACTTATGTCCAAAGATGTTGGGGCGATGGCTTCGTTTAGTCGTGAATTAAAATTTTCGTGTATTTAGCTATATTTTAACTTTTTACAGATCCCTTAATAATGGTAATTAACTTTAAGTAAAATGTTTTTTTCTTTTTTTCAGTATTCGACGCATCAGGCCAGTACAGCCCTAACGTGTTGTTCGGGAATGAGTATTGGTTGGGCTCGTTCAACGCATGCAAAGACCTGCAGCTTAGAGAGTTCTATACCTCGACACCGCCATTTGCTACTAAATTTTTTGTTGCAAAAATCAATATGACCATCGACAACGACCATTTACCACAGGTAAATTATGTTATCATACTCTTTTTTATAAGTCAAGCGGCAAAGGCGACTTTTGACTTGTCCCTTTAATCCAAAATTTAAGAATTAAGACATAAAGTGTTGTGGCAATGATTTTTTGCAGCAAATGTCACATCGCATTATGAGTGACAAAATGTCACACATGACTACCTTTCTTTTGACGATTATCTAATTATAACAAATTGATGTGATGTGATTAAATTACCAAAATCAGGTTCATTGCTTTTACCTACCTTCTACCATGGGTGTAATCAAAAATGTTGCAAACTCATGTTCGTATGATTTAAGTATCTAAGATCAGTACCTAAACCATTCTACATTCAATGCCCGTGTCCCTATTACTATATTAATGCCAATAAAAAAACGTTATACAACACAATGTACGTTGTTTTGCGGCGCTTTCAGGCAGTTACAAGGTAAGAAATGTAGTAGTCAGACATATATTTGAATAAGTCCCTTACTTTTACCCGCGATCTCCTACAACCAATTACACATGTAATGACCCGGCGTTAGACCTATTTTGACCTCCATTAGTTGGCCACTATGTTATATCGTACGTGAACGTTGTGTAAAGTTTTTGAAACTGAAGTACTTTTTACCAAGTAAAGCCTATTTACATCGTTATTATGTGCAGTTTTAGCTTTGGTAGTAGTACAACTACAACAGCTAAATGTTTGATCTTATACGACTTAAGCATTGCGGGTTCGTAACATATCTACTTAACAGTTTTTTTAATGTCAACTTAAACGCCTTTAAATAATCTAACTTTTTAGCATTACCTATTATTCTATTTGTAATATTATTTTAGCCTAGTTTTGAACTATATGAAGTTCGCACGACATTGTTAAACTTATTAGGTATTAAAAGTCTCATCCCTACTGTTAGCAACTGTGCTATTACAATATCTAAAATTTGATAGCCTCTGGAAAGAGAATAAACGAGAATAAAAGAATACCATCTTATCAGATTATGTTTTTTATTGATACAATTAGATAGCGGTCACCGATTCCAATAAATATTCACAACAACAATGGGGGCAGTCGAGCGTTGTGAATTCTAAAAACTCTATTATCTAAACCAACGACAGTAACGTTTATAAACATAACATTGTATCAATAGTAGTGCCTTTTAACCAATATAATAAGTGTCTTTACAAGACACAGCTGGCTTCAATTGACCACACTGTGCCATTTGAGATGGATTTTTTGGTTTGAGACCTATTTGTATATTTTAGAAGTGTAGGATATTGTTAGTATCGTATTACCCGTGACACGACTGACCGAATCAATTGAATAGCACTGATGCTATTTTATTTATGATTCCGAAACATTGGTATTCAAAAAGAAGTTTTATGTAAATATGGTTGCTATTTAGAATCGTTTTTCGCGATGATTGGTATCCATTCACACTAAACCTATGAATTAATACATGTTTACCATTTGTAAAAATACTTAAGGTCAGAGGATAAAATACAGTGAAATTAAGAACTTTTTCACTTTACAGCCGGTTACATAATGTGATTATTAGTTTGCGCACTTTCACGCTTAACGGCTCACATTCGTGAGAAGGTGCTAGTGGTATCTTCACATTCTTGATTCATATCGCGTGAACTTTACACTTTCTTATGTTAATGTTGTTTGTTTAAGGTTACATAATTGCATATATCTTTTCTACAAGGTTAACTTTAAATGGGTTACATCTGGTAAAACGATATCCTCATAATGAATCATGTTTTCCCTTTTAATAAGCGTCCATAAATACCTACATATAGGACTGCTAAAACCTACTGACTTAAAGTGCTAGCTTTGTCTAGATAGAGAGACATAGAGTATAATAAGTAATCCTCTTAGTAGAACAAGCGAAATCAGTAATCAATTTACTGCAAAATCAATATCTGTGCATCATAGTCGTCAACGATTTGTAGATTTGATTAGGGAATCCTACACAAGCTGTATAGAGAATATGCGGAGATTTATCTGATGCATGTTGACAACTTGTTGTAAGGTTGGAGAACTCGAACTTTCCGGCAGTAGCAAATTTGAGTGACAGGGATGTGACACCTGCTCGAGTTATTGCTAACGTTCCCCAATCCACCCGTCTTAGCGATATCCCTATTACATATATAATTTGCCCACTTGCCTCCTCTTACGTAAGTGTGACTAATATCAAAGCATACCAGCGTTTCAAAATTTGGACGTTTAATATATATCTGCTTTGCTATGTTGTTGGGACGAGAATATATTGTAAATTTGAGATTTTCTGAAGATATTTCTTATTCAATCAAGAGACACCAGCTACCGCCCTTTGAATGTCCCCCCCTCAGGATTAGGGGTAAGGTCCTTTTTTTTTTTTTTTACGTGTGGAAATCCCCTCGGACCGTCACCCCGCCGGGGCTCTCGTTCGGCGGGGCGGTGTGTCGGACTCGAACCGACTAAAACCACACGGTGTGCCCTCTTTGCGCTTCCAGTTTAGGAGGGGTCCAGGTAGTTATCGCCTTCTGGACCCCTCCTAGCGCCGGCCCGCTCCTGTTGCGGGCTCCGTCTCAAAGTTTCCTTTCTTTAGGCGGCGTCAGGGGAGAATCCATCCCGTCCACCCGCGGCCACACTCAGGGCGGCATGAGGCGCAGGTAAGCGCACCTCCGCCGACCGGTTCGCCGGCGGCGGATCAGGTCCGAGTGGAGGTCGTCCTCCCGGGCCTTCTCCGCAGCCTCCTTCTGCGAGATTACCTCCTCGCAGAAGGTTGCGACCGCGGTAAAACAACCGTCGCTACCGGCCATGGAGCGAATTACGGCCGGTAGCGAGAGATCTGCTCCGATGACTGCAGTGAGGGCCCGGCGCTGCGTCGCCCATGCGGGGCAAACCGCCAGCGTGTGCTGGGCCGAATCTTCACTGCAGTCGCAGTGGTGGCAGGCGGGACTCGATTCCCTCCTAGCGACCGAGTACAGGTACTTTCCGAAGCAACCGTGCCCGGAAAGCACCTGCGTCAGCCGGAAGGAAAGGGTCCCGTGCTGCCGCCCTGCCCACTCGGCGATGACCGGCTGGAGAGCCTCCACGGCGGTGAAGCCAGCGCGTGGAGTCTCCAGCCGGAACGACCATCTGACCATGGTGGCTCGGCGAGCGGCTTCGCGCCACTCGCGCACGTCTTCGGGCGGAGGGCGAAATCCGCTCTCCGCCCGGAAGTCAGCCACTCGCCGATAAACTTCTGCGAGCACTTCCGCCTCCAAATCCCACGGGGGTGTTCCGGCCAAGGCGCAAGCCGCCTCGGTGGACACCGTGCGGTATCCGCGTATGGCTCTGACCGTCAATATCCTCTGGGGGCGCCAGGGAACACTGGCCCCGCCCAAATTGGGCAAAAGTCGCCCTAGGGCGGAGGCAGTGTCCACCAGCTTCGGACCAAGCTGTCGGAAGTGCTCGTCGAAGAGCCACCTACCGTCTAGGACCAGACCCAGGTACCTCATCTGGGCCCGGACCGGTACGCGGATAGGGGTAAGGTCCTCCGTCAACCTCATTCACTCAGTTAAAAGAAACGAAAAAATTACTTAACACTTTTTTGAGGTCGTCCCGTCAAGCCAGTGAAATATGAGTTTCCCACGGTGACATGACTCACTCACGGAATACTCGTAGCTATAAATACCTACTTGCTTTTATTATTTCCATACCTTTCTTTCCGAAAGTTTTAATCAAGGAAACACTCATAGAGCCTATTCCTGACCACGAAGTTTTGTTTCATTGTCATTATTAAGGGTAGTGCAAACACATAAGTTACTTATAAGAGAAACTTGTGAAGGTCCTGCTTCTGACCTTAATATTTACTTATATCAGGCAAGTTTAATATAAAAGTTTTAGTGCCTTTTGGGACAAGTTCCACCTCTTTCACCAATAGAGTCAACTTAATTCGCTACGTTTCTATTCCCTACAGTGCTGTAAGAAAAAAGAAGTATTCCAATAAAAAGAAAATAAAATATTTGTAATAATTTTTCGCAACGTACCTGGTTACCAATTTTCGTTTGTAACCAATATATCCTTCACACTTAAACTGCACCTTAGAGTTTTCTTTTATAATATTATGAGACGTAATAACGGTTTTGACATAGATGTGTCGCATTGACCGAAACCATAATTTTGTTACATTTTTAATTGCATGGATAATGCACAGCGTATACGTTTCTTAAACTTGAAGCAGATCGATCTTATTACTATTAGAACTATTGTTTTGTCCTTTTTTGTACTACTAGTTGCCCTAATAATTAAACATGAGGTAAAAACCCGGTTTAACCCCCGACGCATAAGCGACGGGGTATGTGGATGTCTGTCTCTGGCATCGTAGCTCCCGAAGGGATGAACCATGTTTGATTTTGTTTTTTTGTTTGAAAGGTGAATTAGCCGGGAGTGTTCTTAGCTATTTGTGATGAAAATCGGTTCAAGATAGCCGCCGCCACAAAATGGCGGCTTATATACATATTTTTTTCACAACTCCCTCAACATGGGTATCAAATGAAAGAGCTTGAGTAGTAGAATACTATACACTTTTTTTTTTTTTTTTTTAAAAAGACCGCCCGCATTTGGAATAAATCCTGTGTCGCGGGGGGCTTTACAAACATACATGAAACGGACACAAAGAACACCCAGACTCAGAACAACAATTTGTGGATCACACAAAGTGTCGTCCCATGTGGGGTTTGAACCCACAACACTCGGCGTAGTAGGAAGCGGCGTGGCGACCGCTTAAACCACTACGCCATCCGTGCAGTCAACACACAGTCACACTATAACAAATTATAAATCCAAGGTGTGTTTCGTCGGTATTTTAAATTTTTAATTTATTTTTATTTTTTGTACCATTAGACTATGATATTATTAGATAAGCAATAGTTATTGCATTTAAAGAGTCCATGTTAATAAAAGTAAACAAAATAAGAAGAATACAAAGCAATCGAATAAAATTTTGCCAAACCGTGAGAATTATGTACCTTCTCATATAGA